ACTCCAAAATGTTCCCCCCGGGTGTCGGGGGGCGCAGATGTACCGTCCGCTGTCGAGGGCCCGGGGCGCCCCGCAGCCCAGGAGGGCGTACCGCCGGGGGACGGCCCTCGCCCAAAACAAACCTGCCAACCCCGCTGCTCGGGTGCTTTCAAGGTTCCCGGCCTGGTTAGGAGTTCACTGACAACATCCATAAAGCTTCAAGCAGTCAACACGTGAAAGACGTGGGTGGTGGTGGTTTGGCTTTGGAGGGGAGGTTTTTTTTAAGTTGTTTTAATGAAGCACTTCCAACAACTTACTATCTTTTACTATATTGCGGCACTTTTCATCGCTGGATTTTAGTCTCTGGGACAGCCCCCCCAACCCGATGCATGGCAAACCCACGCTTGCTGATGGTGGTTGTCAGTGAAAACTAACAGTAAAATATTTAGTAACTGACAAAGTTACTGTTCTTTTTTTCATCAATGGAGAAGCAATACATCAATTTACTAAGACAAGGGGTAGTTACACATGAGAGAAGTACAAAACAGAAATACATATAGTTGCACGTTTCATCATTGCTGCTATATAAATAAGCCTGCCCCCCTCCTTTAAAACAAAATTTACTCAGTTTTCCAACAGTATTTGTACCATTTTTATTTGTAAAAATAACCATCTGAATGCATTTCAATAGTAGTTTACAGTTAGGGTTTTTCATTACATTAATACAGCATTCAGTAGTTGAAAAAGTTACTAAACTGTGCTTGAGAAGATTCAGGTTGAATTCCAAGTCATTCACTGAAGTAAATCTTTTTCCTCATTTCATATGTGACATTTACCCAAGTTCTTAAACTTCAATTTACAAAAGCAAACAATACCGACAAAACCCCACTGAAACCATCAAACAATAGTTTATATTGTTTATTACAAATGTTATGCAAAATATAACACTGGCACCAGATTCATACCACCACGGTTTGTAAAGATATATTGCACATGCTAAAGCATAAAATGTAAGACAAAACCTACAAAACATAAGATATTGGCTTTAATATGTAGATCACTGCATAAAAAACGCATAAAATTACATTTTATACACACACTCAGATTGTCACTAGTTTAAAACGCCCTTTCCTATAACACTGACCTAAGGTTTACTTTTTGTGTAATAAGAAAGCATTTTCAGCACTGCAAAAATTATACATTATTCCTATAGAAATTTAGCATATTAATTTTCATTTCAATGCAGGTAGAACATATGAAAAGAAGAAACACTTTATACATTCAAAGAAGGTCTGAAATGAAAATTTACTGGTAATATATTGCTTTTATAACACTCAAATGAAAAAAAAAAAAAACAAAACCAAACAAACCCGAGTTTCACAAAACATTTCCATAATACACAAATATAAAAAGGCACTCTAATATTTCTTACATGACTAAGAATAAAAATCACAATTTTTTTTTAAATCATCCTCAAGGTACATAACCAAGTTTCTCAACAGTACAATGGATAAACAATTCATTTCATGTGTTTGTTCTAATTCAATGATCTGGCAGTTGTTTACTGCATAAAAGTACCAAACACATTATGGTGCCCTTTTAGTAGCGATGAACAGAAATCCCCTGAGCTATTTCACAGCAATTTCAGGCAGTCCGGAGGTTTTAACTCAGTATTTATGAGAGAGACTTGGGACCCCATCCTGCAGCTGTGGCTAAAATACAGGATGAAACAATCCTGCCAGTACAGCCTGGCAGACGGCTGCCCTCCCCCAAATACCCTTTGCTTGGTGCAGACACAGAAGTCGTCCACCTACGGTAAATTGCAGGATCCATGGTTAAGTGCAACAATTAAATATGATTAATTCTACTCTTGTAAAAAGTCCACAGAAAGGCAAGGTGATTATTTACAAGAGTAAAATTATTCCCATGCTTAAATACCTGCCCTAAATTACAAATTTATTTCTACACGTGATAAATTATCTTACAGATTAACGTACCAGCATACCAAAAAAGGGATTCTGGTAACTCACGTGAGATATGGGATAGGCCAATACTGAGTACTTCCAAGTGTCTTACTCGTGACAGTTTTCCCCCTAAATACACCATACTCAAAACACGACTTTCGCAATGCCCTTAAGATGCTAACAAATCATATGTTTCTATGATATTTGGAATATTGCATACTTACATCATTGTTGGTTTACAGAAAAGTTTAATCAGTAAAGTTTAGATTTGGTTCCTAGAAGGATCAAAGTAATTTGGTAATCACCTATGCTTCTATAATGTTGTATACATCATTAAGAGGCAGCAGTCGTTGCGCTATGCAATTACCAGAGTTACGAGGTATTGCAAATATACAGAAGTATTTTCAGTACTTCTGTATGGTAGCAAGTAAAAATACTGACTTTTTTTAAATGGCTGCTTAAATTAATACATCCTCTTTGTAAAGAGGACTAGTTTTCTCCTAAGGAAGCAACTTCATGTAGGATAGCGTAAATTTTTTGCATTTCAGGGTGAGACTTTTAACTAATCCTGCCAAGGAGCCTACCTACACCTCTAGTGAAAATAAGATTAAAAGGCTTGTCCTGCTGTTAGACAGGTGGCAGCCATTTCCCATTTGTTTATTCGTTTTCAGTGCCATCATTCCACATTAAAAAAAAAAAGAAAAAAAAAGAAAAAAAAAAGAAAATTTGGGATTTCTATTCATTTCTGAACAGACACCACTGAAAACTTTAACAACTGATCTCTCCTCTTATTTTCAGTGCTTAGAGTAAGGTTGTTATTGCTATTCTGCAACTTTTGAAAGGAAAAACGTTGAGAAAAACTGATCATAAAAATGTTATTCTGTGCTATTTCGGAGGAAAAAAACAGGATTTCAGGTGCTCTGTCATTCTACTGCAGGAAATACAGAGTTGAGGGAAAAGAAATCTTCACCTTTAAAGACACTATCCCTTGTGATTTTTTGTTGTAAACTTTGGAAATTTGTTAATGTTCAAGGAAACAATATTTAATTTTAACAAGGCAAAATAAACTCAATATAGAAATATTTTTCCTAGTTAAAGAACTGGAATCTGCCAACAGATTTTTAACAATTCAGTGGAACGCGGCTAAAAACTGCAACTAAAATAAAAATCCTTACTTTTCATTTACCCTGCCGAAAGCGTGCGCTGAGGAAGCGCATCTCATCCTCCCAGCACAGCTGTAGGCCTGCAGACAGCCTGAGTGTGAATCACGGGAACTTTAACACCTTGACTCCGTCCTACACTACCTTTTCCCCTCTTTACTGTAGCTGTACAGTGTTCTCTCACTTGTCTAGCAAGGGGTTGGATCCCTGTCTTACGCTCTTAAATGAGGGAAGGTGGTTTGCTTTCTGCTTTTTACCCATCTATCCTGTGGACTTAAATCTTTGCATTCCACACAAGAAGATGGGCACTCTCTGGGAGTGCATCAGCCCTTCCTTTTTCTACTCAGGCCATCAATCTTGCCTAGATTCACATTTTGTTTTGCATCATGCCAAATAGTATGCACAAATGCTAACTAGGAGAACAAGCCATAGTTATTTTTCCTGGGCATTTGTTTCATTTCAAATAAATATAAACACATTTACATTAAAAGTATATGAACATATTCTTTAGTCTGGAAAAAAGCCCAACTGTGGTCAACACATCATCAGTTACAAATGTCAACTTGAAACCTGCGTCATAAAATGTAAAATTCACTCAAGACTACTCATTAGCTCAAAAGTTTATATTTTTATGGTTTATAAAAACTACTTCATTATGTCACTCACATTTGAAGAAAAAATAAAAGTAGCAAAGTCTTCCATTTAATTACTGAAGCATTTTGGTCCTCTTGGTACAGCTGGTTAGTTCATGATAGCTTTTTGTTTATTTTTGTTTGTTTTTGTTTACAAAGTCTCATTCTTCCTTTTGTACATCTGTTGCAGAGGAGGGTCGTGGTCCATTTGACCTAGAAACTTTGGCAGAAGGAGTAAACATATTCACAAAGTTGACATTGCTTTAAAAGCTGGTGACAATAGGCTTTTTTAGCATTTATCTCCGATCCCCTGCATGGTACGCTGCTATGTTTTCTGGCGTTTGGTATTTCAACTTTTGGTGTTACGCTTTCATTGCTTTACCTTTGCTCTGTTAATCCAAACACTGGCAAAAGTATTTTAAAATTTGATACTGTTTACAGTAAAAATTAGTTATTTAAGCATAGAAAAGGAAAAAAATCCACGTAAGTTGACAAGTCGTTATAAACTTTTACATACACCTTTGTCTACACCTGATTTCCCTCCCTCTCCCCTTTTTTTTTCCGGTATTAGATTCTTGGTTAATGGCTCAGGTGACAGAAACATCTAATGACCCTCATTCTGTAGTGCAAATAAACCGTACATGTTTGTGCTGAATTGGAAAAAAAAAAAAGGGCCAAGTGATTTTCATTTTACACCAGTGGTTCCATTAATGTCTGTGGGAAAATATGGCGAGACAAGTAGAATTTGGCCTAAAGAGTATATAACGATATTTTTCTAATTATGTGCTGCAACTAAGAACTGTAAAAAGTGCCTTCTGTATGTTTAAGTGCTCAATACATGCAGAATGTAAAAGGATTTATTTCCTGTAGAAAAGTAATACAGGCAGCTTTAAGACTTACAACTTTACCTTTGGTTTGTGTAAAAAAAATTATCTAATTAACAGAGCCCCTGGAAGCAGGAAACAGACAGATGAAGGAAAGGGGTAACACTCAAATCTATGGAGGCTACACTGCAAATACGTTTGTGTACTAAAGGTGCAGCTAAAACATGTAAGAACTTTTTACAAACAGTTCCCTGTTTATTTGTGCTGTCAAAAAGAAAAAAGGCATTTTCTCTTTTTCTACTTAAAATAAGAGGTAGAGACTTTCCACAGGGGCACTTAGGGCCTAAAGAAAACACCAGGAAGCTGAAAAGCTGCAGAACATTAATGGGAATATGTTCCAGTAAATCCCTCATACTTTGTTATTTAAAGGCTTGATTCTCATCAACAGTAGGAATCTTTCAATAGCTACTTGTCAAGAATAATAGTTAAGAATATAGCCATGGGATTTAAGCTGTTTAAAAAGACAAAAATAAAGCTGAAATGAAATAATGATGAAAAAAAGATTTTGAATACCAAAAAGTCAAAACGTTTCAGAATCCGAATCATTTTCATTGTACCCATCCTCTGTTCCTATGTTATTACTCAAGGGCTTATTGTAAGAGGTAATGCTACCCATACTGGAGCCATCGCAGAGATGTGTCCTGCCCAAATTGTCTTTTTTAAAACAAACGAAGTTGAAAGCCGTCATTGAACTGGAAGGAGAAAAAGGCATCATGGTAGCCAAAATGAGTGCCAGGCAGTCAGCCACGTCTTTGTTAGGAGCGCAAGCCAGGGCTGGCGTATGACCTGGGCACAAATGCAGACAAGGCAATGGTTAGTACTGAGGGTACTGAGAATGGCCCTGAGCATTCCTCATATACATCTCTAGATGACGTCGTAAGCAGGAGATGTATGTTCAGGTACAATCATGCCAGGCAACAGGGGTATGTTACTTATTTTAAATTAGACATGCTGGGGAAGTACACACTTTATGGAGCATTTAAATCACTGTGACCACAACGAGCAGTATCTTTTTTTAAATCAGGCAGCAAACAGACTTCACGATATGAAAACAAGCACTTGCTACACACAGTTCCACAGCACAGACAGTATGATGAATACAGAACACGGGAGTACAGCAACAGGGACAGAAACTGGCTTCAGTTTCTGTGCGTATGAACAAGTCTCATTCTGAGAACAACGACTTTCATTAGAACATAAAAGATATTAGTTTAAAAACATTTTGGAGTAATAAGTAAATGATTTGAAAGACTCATCAACTGAGTACTCAACTCAGAAAACAGTTTATTTAGGAATTAAATTATGAGAGAAAAGAATTAGACCAGTGCACATGGTACACGTATAGCAGTCATGACTACGTGGATGTTTAGTGACCCAAATTTACATTGTGTTCGAAGAATAATGACTGTATTCAGAAAGCATGGCATATGCTTTAAATACAAAGCTAATATTCTACAGATGCCAGTAAAATGAAGAACTGGGGAGATATTAAAAGTTAGTCTGCACTGCAGTTTAACGTGGCTCCTCTCCTAAAGCAGCTCTTCACGTATACAAGTCTTGGAAACCAGTATGCTGATTACACTTGCTAGCTACACGTTTTGCAGGCTGCTGTGTAGTACTCCAGCACTTTCTAACAAATCCTCCTTTATATACTAACAGCAAATGCGTTCTTTTGAAGATGGCTAAATCTAAAGTGCTGCAGCGATACTAATCTGAGACAATGCCCACCACTGCTGCCTCAAGTAAGCTGAGAACACCTGCAGTGTAGATGAGTTTGGTGGACAAATGTGAGCACAGTTTTGTAGCAAACTACCTGCATTTAAGCACTGGCTGCAACGAATGCATACCCTAAATGGAATTTCCTCTTCCACTGAGTTCCAAGCATGAATATTCTTTAGAGTTGTACTTATACTAAGATTGTATTTAAATTTATCTCTTTTAAACTGCATATGCAGTTGTTCCTAGAAAAATTAAATATGTACCAAATTTAAACTTAATTTTCATTTGTTACATACATGCAAATTAGCTGCATCTGTATCTACAATTTTAATGATAAAAACTGTGGTTCAAAGCCAGTCTGGTTCATTTTTCTGTCCCCTATCTCTAAAATGAGGTTAGGGCCAGATGACTTCAGTGGAACTCATTCATGCGAGTATATCTAGGGAGCATTTGGTTAACAGTAAATACTCACCACTCAGTTCTTTTCATCCATAGATCTCAAATGTCTTGCAATGATGGGTGAGTATTATTATTGTTACTTTACAAATATGGGAAGATGGAGATACCGAATTGTTACATTAATACCATGAAGTCAGTATTGTAAGAAAGACCAGCTTATTTCAGGAAGACATTTTTGAAAACAATAATTATAGAAGCACAGCCCTCTATGGGCTTTATAATGTTTAGGGAAGGACTTCATTGAGATCTGAAACAAAATTATCAGATTTATTAACTAATCATGTATTTTATGAGGCAACAGTAATTTACTTGCATCTCGGATTAGGTCAGACAATTGGTAAGCAAAAGCTTTGATCTCAGAATGAACTAGAACACAATCAAACATATGTTGATGGCTTTCTTCCTACCCATTAAAACATGCGCTGATTGAATGCATAATCCTTAATTCTTCTGCAAGGCGTCAGAATTATCCGGTGCCACTTGCATGTTTAGGAAATTCAAGTTACCACTGCACTCAAGCATTAAAAAAGACTAGCTGTTGACAGTACATGCAAAATGAACAGTAAAAGGGACCGCTGTGATGTTTAGAATACATTTTTATATTAAAGAAAAATAAATAGTATCTTTTTTTTTTTAATAGGTACTCACACAGCTCATTGTCTGTTCTTGGAAGGATAAAAGCATCAATGATGTCTATCATCAGCTTTTAAGTCTATTGCTTCGGTCTGTTGTAAAATTACCTGTTGGGTCCCACTGAAGATTGTCAAAGTGTATTATTTACTTACCATTTTCATCTACTGCTAGGACACACGCCCCTTTGGCTAGCAACTCTTCAACCACCATCTTTAAGCCATTTCGTGCAGCAATATGGAGAGGTCTACAAAAACATAACAACTAAATTCAAGTTCAGTTTAAAAAAGACTTCCTAAAAAAGTTATGTAATTCTTAAAGCATACCCAGCATCAGAAAGAGAATGTGTTCCTTTTTTGAATCATTACAATTATATTGTAGACATTAAATTATATTACAGCCTTTAAAATAATCATCGTGTTCTACATCTGTAAAACATATGTGCAAGACAAATATAATTACCTTCACATACACAAAGACTGCATAATGATTTCCAGTCTAAAGGCCTTCTTTGAAAAGCTCTCATATTTCCACTGTTTGCAGCGCACAATTGACATTTAAAAGGAAAATGAATCTAAGACTGAAGAAATACCGTTGTTCCATCCTTAATTCTGGCTACTACAGACTGTTCAAAATTATTATATTGCCTTTTTATCCTTGAATACTCAGTTGCTAACCTCTGCTACTGCAGAGCAGCTGGAAATTAAAAATAACCACTGGTGTGCTCCATTCCTGGGCCAACACCCAATGCTCCCGTTTGGGGATGCCTGGGGGGACGGGAAAAACAATTTCATATTGGAAGGGGGGAAAAAAGGGCTAAGATGGAATGAATTCTTCTGCAAGCACTAGATGATCTGCCACCTGAACTCGTGGTTGAATCTCCTCCTGTGGGATTCCCACATACCTGTCAAACAGTTGCAGCTGGAGTAACAATATTGATGGTTCTAACTCTGCTGATAACATATAGTATGGATGGAAGTTGCACATAAAATATCACCTAAAAAAAACCCTCTGAAAATTAAATGCACTGTCCTAAGTCTAGATAAATTATTTAGATTTAAAGTGAAGCTGAAAAAACTAGAAAATGCCAAATGTATACTTACACATTCACACGATTAATAGACATTTTGATACAGTCTTCAAATAAATGACCTCATATAATTTTTCCACCAGACCATGAATAGAATTGGCATCAAAGGAATCAAAATTAAAAGTGAAAATGCAATGCAAATCTAGTCTTTTCAAGGGCAAGCACTCCGAAAAATCAGAAATTAACTTTTTTGTTCTATGAAAAAATCTGAGACATGAATTTGAAATGCTCAATCAGAATCTTCTGGTAAGTCAACTGAATGTGAGAGGATCAGGCTATACTTACGTCTGCAATGCATTATTTTTTGCATTAATAAGGCTCTGTTCTTGTATCTTGTCAAGTATTAACAAGGCACATTTTTCATGACCCTGTAGTTGGGAAAATAACAAATAGTGTTAATTTGCTGAGGAGTTTGTAATTGAGGCAAAAGAAATGTTACATATAAAAGTGAAATTTAATATCTCAGTTTGAAATACAAAACATGCTACTCAGCTTATAAGGATGTGTAGTCAGTGAACTGTAGGAGCCTTAAAATACCATTTACAAACCGCCACTGCTATCATGCTTTAGCACATTTAGAAATTTAGACATTCACCTGTCTTTCAACCCTCCATTCATTATATATGAATTCACCTCTGTCGTGGTTTAGGCCGAACTGTCCACTGGGGATGTGGGGCATCCCAAACCAGTACAACCTCCTCAGCTTTCAGAGAAAACTGCCATCTCTCCTGAGACAGCATTCAATGGACTATTTATTAGAACTACACAGTAACATAGAAAGAGGTGGTTTCATCTCAAAAACTAATACTATACTTTCTGAGTCTTTAAACGCCCTTCTGTATTATTAATAAGCTACTATGAAATCCTTTCAGTGTGAGTGCTCTAATAATGAAACTTTGCAAATAATACAGTTCTGGGCCTTATTTCTGAAACTGTTTCAGCCACAGCAAGTCACAGATGCCGAGCCTACAGCCCTGGCACATGAACTGCAGCTGCCTGAAGGGCCTTGAGAATTCAGCGAGGCTCATGTGTCCACAGAAACTGGAGTAATATTATCACACTGGAATCCAGTCTGTGGATAGGAGCAAAAGAAAAGGCCCAGGAGATGGAATCCCATGGGTATTTTTTCTTGCAGAAACAGCAGTAGCAATTGGAATTAAGAGGAAGAAAGGGTGGGAAAAGACACCACCACTAATCCAATCAATGCCTCTGGGTTTTACTGCTACAGAACATAAGGGAAAATTTTGGGTTCCTTCCACAGAAATTGGAGAGTAAGAAAAAAGAATAAATAGGGTTTTTTTTAGTTTGCTGCTG